CACAACCAATAACATGGAAGTTAATGAAATGAACACTGTGGGTCCACCTACAGCAAGTGGACTGCAATGGTTCAAGAAAGCAGCTCATTACCACCTTCTCAAGGGCAACAAGGGATAGGCAATAAATACTGGCCTAGCTAGTAACACCCACATGCCAAGTACACATTTAAAAAATGTTGATAGAGACAATGTATTTAATTGAACATCTCAGTAACTAGAAAATCTATTTCTGATTTATGTTGTGACTTGTGGAATGGTGAGACCAGAGAAATAGTGCACTCCTCCAGCTTCAGGTCATAACATTTTCAATATTATATTTAATATGCTGAGCAAATAGTGTCTGTCAACACTCCAGTGAACAAAGGGCTTTAGAATATTCTACTCCTTATCCTTTTTGTCTTCAAAAATAGCCTCAATGGGAGGGAACTGGTTTTCTGTTTTTAAAAAAAATGGAAACCTCTGCAGAGGGAGAAATCTACTTTTTTCTATTTTCCTGGTGCCAAAGACACCACAAGTTGGAAAAGAGAAGAATTTTGACATTTATACTTCCACATTACCAACTGTGTGCTCAGTGAATCAGTTTTGTTTTGAGAAGAAACAAATAATTATATTTATAAAGATAACTCTTTGATGGACATTTTTTTTTTAAATTTAAAACTTGATTTGGCTAAGCTATTTAATAGGCCATCTCAGTAACTGGAAAATATATTTTTGTTTTCTGTAGTGACCCATGGAGTTGTGGGACTAGAGAAATAGTGTACTCCTCCTGCCTCGGTGACAGCACTATAGTAAGCAGATTAGCAATCCCTCTGCACAGGTCAAAAACACATTACAGAATTAACTATCACAGCCTGCCTCCTCTGTTACAACATGTCTTTTTTTGTTCCAGAGGAAGTGGGCTATTTGGGATTTCCAAATTAGTGTCACATTATAAACAACAGTGTCCTGCGCACACATGCAAAGAAGTGGGCTGAGACTGTGTAACCTCATCTTGTAATTACTTCACATTAACATTATCCCACCAGGTGGGAGATGAATTTGAAGTCTAATTCCAGAGTTAAAGGCCCCTGTATAGCCTTGCTGTTTGATGCCATCATATCCCTAATTTCTGATTTACTTCATTCTTCACAGCCCTGCCCTGCTCCATACGCCTTGTCCTTTTACCCAAGTATTTCTCATTTGCGATGCAATACAAGGGGCACAAACAGAATTCTGTGATGAATCAAATCCTTTTCATTTAATACTCAATGTCCTCCAAATTCAAAGAAAAATACCACAGGTGAAACCATGTCTTTAGTCATTCATTTTTCAACAAACCAGGTTGTTTCTCAGCCATGTCCATCTCTGTTCCAATCTGAGGATGCAAATACTTTAGAGTATTCGATTCCAAGAAACCCAAATATATCAAGCAGTAGGATGCAGATTTTCAAATGGGTCATTCAGCTGAGAGCACTAGTAAATAAAACTGGTGAACACTTTGACCAAGCCAATTTCATGGCTACCAGCCACAGGCCGCAGCAACATTAATGAAAGCAAAGGATTAGCCTCCCTGAAAGCTCGTGCGCACTTGGGAGAAAGATAGGAAGATCAATTATACAATTTGACCACATTCTACTTTCTGACAGAACTTAATCCAGGTGTGCAAAGCAACTTCATGTTGTGCAAATGAAAAATATACGACACTTGAGTATATTGCAACCTGGTTGCTACAAATTAAATACTTAAGTGACATTATCAAACCAAAAACTTTCCTGTTTAAACCATAATTCCTGAATAAGCATTCTGTTTTGTACTGTCCTGACAAGTCCCATAATATATGTTCAGTGATTCACTTTACAAAAATGTATTTGCAAAGGTGGAAGGAAGAATTGGAAAACATAAAATCAGCCTTGGAATTTCAACTAATTTTCTTAAAACATACAATAAATATGGCAAATGGTCAATTATACATTAAATTGATTTACTTTGTGAGAATTAAAATCCTACCAATTCTGAGCAAAGTTTGACAAAATCAATTCAAGGTCCCAGGTTTAACACCACTCTCACGAGATATCCTGACAGATTGAGTGACCATTGGAGGAAAAAGAAAATCGCTAAGTACAAGTTTAACCAATCAGCCTGGTAGTTACATCTAAATAGTTTTAAGCACTCATTTACAATCAGTAACAGATACTATGGTCTATAAACATTCATCTGGAAGCAATATATCCAATCAATCTTTTAAAAGGCCTCCAGCCACAATGCCCAAGTCACTTGAAGTATGATATTCAGAAATGACATCTAGCTGCTCTGAGATATCAGTACTCTCTTTCACCTCACTCACTCTTCCCTATGTTCCTTCATTCATCCATCAGAAAATTCTAAGCACATTCATATTCTTCTGGCCTGAAACTCTCTAATGCAACTGGACAATTCTAAAAATTCTAGAGCTCGACGAGGAAGGCAGCCCATTAGAAATTAGATGGATTTTAATCCTCTGAATCTTCATGTTTTTCTTACAGAGCTAGGAGAGGGGATATTTAATAAAAATATCAAAATCATAAAGTGTTAGATAGCAATATCATACAGTCAGAGTTATGCAGACTCTTCAGGCCAACTCATCCGTGCCAACCAGATATCCAAAACTGATTTAGTCCCATTTGCCAGCATGTGGCCCATATCCCTCTAAACCTTTTCTATTTATGTACCCATCCAGTTGTCTTCTAAATGTTGTATTTGTACCCGTCTCCATCACTTCTTCTGGCAGTTCATTCCATACAGGTAACACCCTCTGCGTGAAAAAGTTGCCCTTCAGGTCCCTTTTAAACCGACACCCACCTTTGTCATCATTAAACGGACCAAACTAGAGGAGACACACAAACTAATAAACAACACCCTCATCGGAATCAAATTCACCAGAGAGGAGGGGAAGAACAAACAGCTCCCATTCCTGGACGTCATGGTAGAGCGCAGGACAAATGGGGAATTCCAAACAAAAGTACACAGAAAAGCCACACACACTGACCAAGCACTGAACTTCAACAGTAACCATCCTAACACACACAAACAAAGCTGCGTGAGAACATTATTTAAACAGGCAACAACACACTGCAGCAGCACAGAACTATGCCGCGAAGAAGAGGAGCACCTCTTCCAGGTATTCAAGGACAATGGATACCCGAAAAACTGGGTCAGAAGATGCCTATTACACGAACAACACCAGGAAGATACTACACACCCCAACACACTCATCACGCTACGTAACATCAGGAACACATCGGAACTAACCACAAGACTCCTACAACCACTGGGCATCAGAGTAGCACGCAAACCCACATCAACCCTACGACAACTGCTCACCTGAGCCAAAGATCCACCACCCACTATGGACAGGACCAATGTCATATACAAGATTCCCTGCAGAGACTGTGTCAAACACTATATTGGACAAACAGGATGGAAATTAACAACAAAGGTAGACAAATACCAATTGGCTACAAAAAGACACAACCAATACTCACTCATCTCTATCCACATGGATAAGGAGAACCACCAATTTGATTGGGACAACACTAAGATCCTGGGACAAGCAAAGCAGAGGCGGGCGCGGGAATTCCTAGAAGCCTGGTACTCCACAAAGAAAGCCATCAACAAACACAGAGCACATATACACTCCATTGCGAAGGAAACCGGAAGTGAGGTAATCCTGCTCAACACACTCCAGAGTTTAAAAACCAGGCAAAACACAACAGCGCTTCATCGGAGGCTGCACTGATGATGTTACCCAGCAGGGTAATGAAACAACAGCGGAACAACGAACCAGCTTGGCAAGCCAACCAACCACAACATCCACAATCCGAGCTGCAAATCTACTCTAAAACCTTATGCCCTCTAGTTTTGGACTCCCCTACCCTGGGAAAAAGTCCTTGGCTATTCACCGTATCTATGCCTCTCACGAGTTTAGAAAACCTCTATTCAGATCACCCCTCTGCCTCTAACGCGTCAGAGAAAAAAAAATCCCAGCCTCTTTTGCATCCCCGTTTAGGTCAAATCCAGTCCTGGCAACATCCTCGTAAATCCTTTCTGAACCCTTTCAAGATTAACAACATCTTTCCTAGAGCAAGGAGACCAGAATTAACACAGAATTCTAAAATTGACCTCACCAACGTCCTGTACAGCCACAAGATGACATCCCCACTCCAGTAAATAGAAGGAAATATAGTTTCTCATGGTCGAAGGTGCAGTAATCAGAACAGAAAGATTCACGAGAAATGACACAACAGCCATAAGTGTAAAGAAGAGAAATGTCAGCTTTGATACAGTTGCTTGCAACCTTGACTGAGCCAGAAAGTTTTGGACTCAAGTCTGAGTCAAGAATTTCAGCATAAAATTAAAGCTGCCATTTCAGAACAGTACTGAGAGAGGTTTGCACTACTGAAGAATTCAACTTTTAATTGAGATGTTAAACCAAATTCCTGGCTGCCCAAAAGAGGAGCAAGTACGTTATTCCTAGTGCCCCAACCAATATCTTCTCCTCAAAAGACAGTCATTATCAAATTGCTGTTGGGATCATACTAAGTACAAAGTAGCTGTCATCTTTCAATGCATTTAAATAATTACCCTGTTGTAAAACGTTTGTAAAGACATCTTACGGAAATGCAAATCTTTGTTTAAGGTAAGCTGGAATGCACAGCCCAGGTGTGGTGGAAGGACATTCGAAGTGGTTTTCAAAAGGGAACTGGATACATACCTTTTAAAAAGAGGGAAGCTTGCAGTGTTATGGACAAAAAGTAGGGGAATGGAACTAAATTCTTTCAAAGAGCTAGCACAAGTACAATTGAATGGCTTCCTCCTGCGCTACGTGATTCTGAAGTAACTGTGATGATTTTTCCAAGAAACTTATTTCCCTCTGGAATTCTCAGGTTATGATATTTAGAATCATCACCCAATTGTAGCAGAGCTGGGGGAAGCACAAATGGTCCCAAAATTTTGATATTTGTAACTGTAACTCAAACTCTTACCTGGTCTGAAGTGGAGGAATGGGTAAAGAGATGCACAGGAATGGTTCAAAGGTATTGCTCTGTTTTTGGCAATGAGGACATGTCAATGAAGACCTAAAAGGAAAAAGAGGAACAGTAATTTTGTTGCCAACCTACCAAGGAGAGACAGAAACTCAAGGTGTTTTTCCATATAAATTGAGAATAGCAACATGAAAGAGAATAAATTAAGAGTCAGGAATCGCACTTCAGGTAAGGTAGATAATGGCAAAACTTATAAACATTATTATTTCTCTCTTCCAATTTAATCCAAACAAACAGGTAAGTAAGGTATCTGTGCTGAAGGACAGGTTAGAGTATGTGGACCACATAAAGAGTTTTATATATGAATACATGGAATGTAAGGAATAAATTTAAAGAGCTGCAGGCTCAAATTTCAATTGGAGATTATTTTACAGTAGGCATTGCTGAGAAATGGCTGCAGGATGGTCAGGACCAGATTATAAAGTTTACAGGATGGACAGGGAAAAAGGGAGAGGAGGTGAAGTAGCCTTACTGATTAGAAACAAAATTACTTCAAATGATGAGGGAGGATACTGTGACGGAAAGTATTCAGTGTGGACCATATGGGTGGTACTCAGGAACCGTAAAGGATCTAAAATTGTAACAGGTGTTGCATACAGGCTCTCAGCAGCAGCTCTGAAGTGCTGGATTGCATAAATGCAGAAATTAGACAAGTGTATAGCAAAGCCAAACCAGCATTAATGGGGGATTTTAACTTTATCGTAGATTGGGAGAGATAAACAAGCACCTGTCGGAAAGGTAGTGAATTTCTAGAGTGTGTCCAGGATAGTTTCCTACAGCAATATATCCTGAATGCAAACATGGGAACAAGTAATACTGGATTTAGTAATGAGAAATGAGCAGAATTTAAATTAGTAACCTATTTATGCATGAACATTTGTCAAATTGTAATCATAACCTGACGAATACAATGTAGTGTTTGAAAACAAAACACATGAATCAGCTTCGAGTTTTAGATTTAGGCAAGGCCAAATTTAACAAGATGAGACAAACTCTATAGTGAACTGGGGAAATCTGCTAATGGGTAAAACAATGGAAAACAGTGGAGGATGTTTAAATTAACATTTAATACAATACAAATCCAGTTTATACTGCTGAGAGGGAAAAACTCTACTTCACAGAAAAAGTCAGCCACGGACAATTAACGAGATAAGGGGCAACATTAAATTAAAAACAAAGGGATACAAAAATGCAAAATATGGCACAGATCCTACTTAATGGGAAAGGGTACAAAGACTGGCATAGGGCCACAAAGCAGCTTACAAGGGACTATGAAAGGAAACTTAGTTAACGTTTCGGGTCCGGTGACCCTTCCTCAGAACCTAAGTTCTGAGGAAGGTTCACCAGACCCAAAACGTTAACTCTGTTTTCTCCTCCACAGATGCTGCCAGACCTGCTGAGCTTTTCCAGCAACTTTGTTATTGTTCCTGATTTACAGCATCTGCAGTTCTTTTGGTTTTTATGAAAGGAAACTTGCCAGGGACATCAAAATCAATAAGAGATTTTATAGTTATATAAAAAGGAAAGCAGGTGATCAGAAGTATTGTTGGACCACTAAAGACTGAAGATGGGATATTGTCGATGACTATGGGGAAATGGCAGACATGTTGAATAATTACTTTGTCTCAGCATTTTCAGTAGAAAAGGAGGATAGCTTGCTGAAAGTCCTGAGGAAATTAATTATAGATCGAGAACAGGGGCTGAATAAAACCAATGCAAGTAAAACATTGATAATGAGGAGTTAAAGTGTGACAAATCTCTGGGACCCGACGGATTGCATCTGAGGGTGTTAAAAGGAAGTAGAAGAGCACACTGGATGTCTCAACTGTAACTTTTCAGAGTTCGCTATTTACAGAAGTCAACCTTCTCGGCTGGAAAATTTCACACGTCATTCTGCTTTGTAAGAGGGGCGAAAGAGAAAAACCAGGGAATTACAGACCAGTTAGCCTAAACATCTGTTTGAAGAAATTGTTAAAGACTATAATCAAGGATACGATAACTGAACGCCTGAAAATTTTCAGTTAATCAGGGAGGGCCAGCGTGGATTCGTGATGGGCAAGTCATGCCTTGCAAATTTCATTAGATTTTTTTGAGGTGGTGACTAAGGTAGTGGATAGGGGAACGGGTAGTGGACAGGATATGTTTATGTAGACTTTCTGAAGACATTTGATAAAGTTCCCACATAAGAAACTGTTAAATAAGGTAGGAGCCCACAAAATCGAGGGCAAATTACTGAAATGGTTGGGAAATTGTTTGAGTGGCAGGCAACAGAAAGTATGGATCAGCCACTGTGACCAGTGGTGTCCCACAAGGATGTGCATTCGGGTCTCAACTATTCACATTAAATAAGGCGAATAATTGAGGCCCTAACACAGATAGGACTTGGATGATGGGATACAAAATCATATATCCAAACCTGCTGATGACATAAAGTTAGGCAGCATTGTAGACAGTCAAGATGATAGCATAAAATTCAAAGGAATATAAACAGACAAAGTGAATGGGCAAAACTGTGTCAGATGAATTTCAATTTAAGCAAATGTGAGGATAACGATTTTGGACCAAAAAAGGTTAGGGTACTTTCTAGAGAGCATGAAGTTATATACAGTGAACGTCCAAAGAGACTTGATGGTTCAGGTGCACAGATCTTTAAAATGTCACAACAGGTGCAGTAAATAACCAAGAAAACAAACAGAATGCTGGAGTACCACAGTACAACTATCTAGAAGTTATGCTGCAATTACACAAAAATCCTAATTAGACCCCACTTGGAGTACTGTGAACAGATTCAGACACCATACCTTTGTATAGATATATTGGCCTTGGAGGGAGTATAATATAGGTTTATATAGGAGATAGCTCGACTCCAGGGGTTAAGTTATGAAGAGAGGAGAAATTATACAAATTAGGCCCATTTTCTCTAGAATTTAGAATGTTAAGGGGTGATCTGATCTAAATTTTCAAGATATAAATAGGAAAAGACCAAATAGATAAAGACAAGCTATTTTCACTGGTTGGGGATTCTAGAACTAGGGAACATAGTTAAGAATTAGGCCCAGACAATTCAGGAGAGATGTTACAAGACACTTCTACAGGCAAAGGGCGGTAGATGTTTGGAATTCTTTTCCACAAATGGCAGTGGATACTGGATCAATTGGTAAATTGTTCAGCAAAGGTATCAAGGGATATAGGCCAAATGTAGGTATATGGAGTTAGGCCACAGATCAGCCATGATTTCATTAAACGGTGGAACAGGCTCAAGGCGCTACCACTAAATCACATTCGATATCTTGCGTCTAGAACATCAATGCACATTGGGTAATGCCAAATAAAGCACTGCATAGCTAGTCTAGGACTTCCTAGGAGAGTGCACCACACTCAATAGTTCACCTACAAAGCAAACAAACTGGAAACCCAATCACCCAGGGAACACTCCAGTCTCCCAAAATAGTCAATTGAAGAGCACAACAGCTCTCACACCAGAGAAAATCCAACAGCACCAGCTAAGTTGTTCTTGCTGAGAGGTCACAGTTTTCCAACACACCAACATCTCTACTGAAATGACGTTAATTTAAAAAAGGAAATGAATTCCTCAATGACTGTCTCTTGTTCACTTTAAACTCGAAGAGGCTCTTACCTATATTGTGCTTGAAAGAGCTCCTGCACAAAACTGCTTCTCACTGGAAGAGATGGCCCTTCACAGAGCTCGTCTTCATCTTTTGGAGGCTAAATGAAAGAAAAGCAAAATGTACCGTACAAAGCACCCATAGATAAATAATAGGAAAGAACTTGAGAGAGTTGGCAGGCCAATCTAAATGTATTTTATTGCAGATTTAGCATCTCTCTGAATAACTTGTTCACATTCATTATTCGCAACCAATAGTTTTTCGTAGCTTATGTAGCTAAATCAGCCAGAAGATTGTTTGATCTTATTGAAAAAGGTAAGAAATGCACAAAGTAAACATGCTCAAGTCTCTTTGTAGATGATCGGAAAAAGAACATAATAAATACATACTTTGCATAAATATGTACAAATTGAATCTGAACATAGGTATAATGACGGCAATAGGACAACAATTTTGAAAGAACTGTAGGAAAGCAATGGATTTTGAACATTTAGCATTGAGATGATTAGTCACCACTCCCTGAAGGAAAGCACACTATTTGTTGATAATTCACATCACACAGATTCGTCAGATCAATTATCTGCTAGCAAAAGAATAAGGTGAGCCACTGTATCAAAGCAGTGAGCTCCACTATCAGATCATAGGAAGACCTTTGGGAAGGAAATCAGATTTTGCACATTAAACTCTGACACTCCCACCTGGGAGTACCTTATATTTTTGATGCTCTGTTACTACTAATATAACGATCTACCATTATTTTCAAAACTAGAGATTCTTTAGAGTTCCCTTCAAGCCAAAATCATTCTACTTCTCTCACATCTGATATAAGAATTGATGCTGTTAATGTCACAGCATTGTGCATCCTTAGAACGGAGCTTTCTTTGCACATGGTTATAGCTCTGAAAATGAGCAAAGAAGATTGCAATTAGAAGTTCTTAGTAGTTGTTGCCAGAAATGGATGAAAGAAATCTAATCTCTGAGTAAAACTGAAGGGGATGGAAAGAAGGTAGATAATACTTTACAGTGAAACACCTTTGCTCATTTCTAACCAACTAACTTGGATTGCAACTTTGAGCTAAAATAAAGATACTTCAACATCCAATCAGGCAAGAGCTGAGGAAACCCTGTATAAATATTTCTTGCATGTATAATGGAAAATCGACTTTCTGGACAAAATTGTTACATGGTATGGTACAGCATGTATAATGGAAAATCGACTTTCTGGACAAAATTGTTACATGGTATGGTACAGCACAGGAACTGACCCTATGACCAAGTCTGTGCCAACCACAATGCCATTCTAAACAAATCCCATCTGCCTTCACATGGTCTGTATCTCTCTATTCTCTGGCTGTTTGTGTGTATGTTTATTATTACTTTCATATGGAGATGTGGGCTTCAATGTTAGGGCCAGTATTTACTGCCCATCCCAACTGCCCTTGAAAAATTAGCAGTGAGCTGCCTTCTTGAACTATTGAAGTCCATTTGATACAGTTGCACCCAATGCTGTTAGGACGGAGTTCCAGGATTTGGACCCAGTGCAAGTAAAGGAACAGCAACATATTTCCAAGTCAAGATGGTGAGCGGCTTGGAGGGAATTTTGCAGGTGGTGGTGTTCACATTTCTTTTTTAATGCCCTTGTATTTCTAGATGGTAGCTGTCGTAGGTTTGGAAAGTGCAGTTTAAGGAGCCTTGGGGAATTTCTGCAGTGCAAAACACTAAGAACCCAAGTGCAGGTTTTGTTATAGGAGATCCTCAGTAAGTTGTTGGGACAAGTAAATCCTAAAACACCACTGACAGTAAATCTACAATCAATCCACCCGTGATCCATGGCACTGATTGCACAGTATCCAGAAAGTGATCAGATACAGACATCACTAGCAGATAAACACTTCATGAGGGAATATCTCCAACAGCTCCCGGAGGTGGTGGGAGAGCACAGCTACTCTCACTTGGCACGCCAGATCAACAGTGTGTTCCTATGTTGGGAACAAGAAAATTCCCCAACCTGAGATAACCATTCCCTGGTTTTGCACCGCAATGTCCCATCCTAAACAAGCCTAAACTGAGACAACCAAGTGCCAATTCAAACCAAGCCCTTCACAAGACTTGAGGCAAGTCACACAAAGGACAATGTGCTTTCAGCCACAAGTCTGACAAAATTTCAGTTTATTGCACATCCACAAAGCATTTCAAACTGGCATTTCATTTTTTTTTTAAATAAAAAGATCAGATGCAGAGCTCAATCAAAACATTTTACTTGATTTTGTACAGTGCTACATGTATTATCGACTTAGAATCTGAATCAACGGTGCAACACTAGGAATGCCAGCATGCAAGGGCAATGCTAGAGATCACAAACTGACATTCAGGTCAGTCAATATGTGGCATTACTGATGATCCTTATTCACCTCAAGTCACTGCTGTAGGGCAGCATTAATTGAATTCTCCAGAGAAACACAACTATCTCAAGATTCTTGTTTATGCCCTTTGCTCAACCTTATCAGAAGTCCAATGGCATGTTACCCGTTCACTTGGGAATGACTGTGGACAATGAAAAACAGGCAAGTGGGGTCATTTTCCCCTGCATCTCTGAAGAATCAAAAACATCTCTTCTAAAAAGCTGACACTGTCTCACGTGGCAAGAGTTGGTAACAACAGAAGAATTTAAAGTGCCAAGAGGAACAACCAGATCAGACATGAGGAATTTTCTTTTCTATTAAGCAGCAAATCACTGCATTCTGTAACTGCCTGTACAGTTGTAAACAGATTAAATCATAAGTTCTGAAAGCAAGTTGAACAAATACTTGAAGGAAAGAAAATACATTGGCCTTTGAGGAAAGGACAGGGAAGTGGTGGTGGCATAATATAGTAATGACACTGGACTAGCAATCCAGAACTCCAGGCTAAAGTTGTGAAATCACTGGTTCAAATACCACCATGGCAGATGAAAAAATTTAAATTCAATTTTAAAAATCTGGAATTAAAAGCTATCCTAAAGACAATTGCATTAGCACTGTTCACTGTTCTAAAAACGGATCAGCTTCAATAATACTCTTTAATCTGCCATCCTTACGTGGTCTGGGCTACATGTAACTCCAGACCCACAGCAATGTGACTGCCTCCAAACTGCCCTCTATAACGACCTAGCAAGCCATTCCGCTCCAGAGCAATTAGGGAAAGGTCAATAAATGCTAGTGTAGCCAGTAATGCCCACTTCCTATGAGTGAATAAAAAGTAATGGCTAGCACTACCAAACAGCTGGCACAGTCAAGAAGAGGCAAATTATGAGCTTTTACATTCTATAATCCTACAAATAACTCTCAAAATAAGTAACTTAAATATCAAATTTGTCTATTTTTTTCTGTTCCATTTTTCCATTAAATACAGACAAACAATCATACCTTGACTGCAGGCCTCCCATTTGTTAAAACAATATTGTTCAGATCCTCATGAACCCTATCAAGAAGCCACAGCAGAAACTCCTGAGCATCATGCTGAGAGTTGCCACGATATTGGAAAGCATTCTTGGATACGACATTCTGAAAGAAAATTAAAAGGTGTAAGTTTACTGCCCAACATCCAACTTAAAGAATAACTTGTGTTTTTATTGCAGGAGGCAATCCAAACATTTCATGGCCAATTACTTACTTCTGAAGTGTAGTCATGGCCAATGTACAACAAGGTCCTACAAAATGCAAACACAGAATCTGTTTTGGTGATGGCAGAGTTGAACATTTACCAGAGTATACATGGAACTCTCCGCTCTTCAAAACAGGTATACCACACGGTCGGCCTGAGCACAAAGCCTGGTTTAATGTCTTGTTGAAAAGTCATTTACAAATATAGAGTTGAGGAGAGGAGAAAGCAACGAGGATCATTACAGAAAAGTAAGTGGGAGAGGATTTAAACAATTAAGGCAGAAAGCTTAATAGAAACAGAACATAAACGAAGTAATGAGATCAACTAGAGAATGACAGTTCGGACAGAGGGAGTACACAGTACCTTGTCTACCTGATAATGGATGGAACATTAGGTGTGGTGACACAACAGACAAACATTCCAGTGCATGACAGAGGGGAACATGTTTTAAGCACAAAAGTACGTGGGGGCTATGGCATGAAGCAGCATGACACTACTTGAATAGCAGGAATCTTTGTACGTCCTGGTCAAAAGTGTTTCTGCAAACAAAAAAAAACACCAGGCCATTTATCTCACTTACTATTGGCAGGATCCTGTTGTGCATCTGAGACTGAACTTAAGGATGCCTATAGATGGTTCATGTATCAGCCTTTGACAGTGTCGTACACATCCCAGGAAGAAATGTAAAAACCTCACTTAGCAACATCTGTCTGACAAAATGGGATCAGACTGCACTAGAGAAAGCACACGTGTAATCCATGTTGCAATGCATTCTGACTGCTCTGATTACTAGGTTAGAGTTAACTGGGCATTATTCTGGGGCAATACAAAATTAAGGAACAACATGAAAACTACACATGGCCCCCTGAGCCAGCTCTGCCATTCAAACATGACTGATCTTTACCTCAGCCCTACTTTTCCATCCCTCTTGGTCTTGAACATTGTCAACAGTAAACCATCTCAAGAACAGAGAATTCCAAAGATTCACAACTGGGAGTGAAAAAAATTCTCATTTTAGTCTTAAATGGTCAATCCCTATTCTCAAGATTCTTTCCCTAGCTCAAAGACTCTCCAACTGAGGGAAAAGAGCCTCTCAATATCTACCCTGTCAAGACACCAAGAATATTATACTTTTCATTAAGGCCATCTCTCATTCTTCTAAACTCAACAGAACATTGGCTCATTCTACTCAACCTCTCTTCACAGAAAGCCCAATCATTATAGGGATCAATCTAGCAGGTTTTTGTTGCACTCCCCCAAGTAAGGAGCCCAAACCTGCATATGGAATGCAAGATGTTATTTTTCCCCAAATAGTTCTTTGTCACACGTTTACAGCATTGTCTTGAATTCTATCCAAGTGACAGAGACTAATGCCCAGGCCTCGGTTTATTCAAAACTGAATATAGATCACTGTAGCTGGATAAGGGTTCTTCATCACTAGCCAGCAATGAGGTACAACAACTGGTTTTGGAAAACCAGTATTGCTGCACTGCCCAAAACACACAACTCCAGGAGATTGTCAAAACAATCATTTGCATGTTCAACAGCTCAAATTCAGGACATCAAACACGAACAAATCATTCTGATTCCAAGTTAGCATTTAAACCAGTCTGAGATACATTTCAATCTCATGGTCATTCTTTCACTGGGTTTAAACATAGCTAGAAACCTAGATGATGGGAACAACAGGCCATTTGAACTTACTCTGCCATTAAATATGACCATGGCTGATCATCTAACTTGGTACCCTGTTCCTGCTTTCTCCCCATATCCTTTAAGCCCTTTAGCCCTAATAACAATCTTTAACTCCTTCTTGAAAACATTCAACATTTTGGCTTCAACCACTTTCTACGTCAGAGAATCCACAAGCTCATCACATTCTAGGAGAAGAAACTTCTCATCTCACTTTTCAAATTTTAATTGGCCTACCTCATTTCCTTCAACTGTGACATCCTTGGTTCTTGAGTCACCAGTCATCGGGAATATCCATCCTGCATTTATCCTGTCTAGTCATGTTAGAATTTAAAGGTTTCTGCAAGAATGCCCTCCCCTGCCCCCATCTCAGTCTTCTAAACTCCAGCGAACATAGACTAGTATCAGTTAGGACTTTCTTCATTCCAGGAATCAGTCTGGTAAATCTTCATTGAGCTCCTTCCTCAGAAAAAGGAGACTTAAACTGCACAGTATTCCAGGTGTGGTCCTACCAAGGCTCTGTACAATTGCAGTAAAATAGTCCCGCTCCTGTGCTAAAATCCTTTTGCTATGAAGGCCAACATACCATTGCCATTTCCACTGCCTGCTGCACGTGCATGCTTACTTTCAGCAATTAGAGTACAAGGACACCCAGGTCTCGCTGCACCTCCCCCTTTACCAATCTCTCACCATTCAGATAAAAAGCTGCCTTCCTATTTTTACAACCAAAGCAGTTAACCTTATATTTATCTACATTATACTTCATCTGTCATGCATTTACCCACTCACTCTACTTGTCCAAATCTTTGCATCCTCATCATAGCTCACCTGTCCACCTAACATTGTCAACTTCAAATCTGGAGATATCACATTTAGTTCCCTCACCTAAATCATAACATAGATTTGAATAGCTGGTCCCTGTGGTACCACACTAGTAACTAGCTGCCATTTGGAAAATGACCTCACTGTTTGTCTCCGATCCATCAACCAGTTCTCTATTCATTTTAGTACACTACCCCCCAATGCCATGTACTTGAATTTTACATGCTAATCTGTGGTGGAACCTCATTGAAAGCCTTCTGAAAGTTTGAGTAAGTCATATTCACTGGCTCCTACTGTCAACTCTACTAGTTACATCCTGGAAAAATTCCAGTGGATTTGTCCAGTAGATTTGGTTGATCTGGGTATATTCCATCCTGTCGGTTACCAAGTATAACAAGCAGATCCTTTGAACACTTTTGGAAATCCTTGGCTTGTAGCAGCTGTCAAATATTAATTTCAAGTTTTTATTTCTGTAAACACCATTTTACCTCTTCAGCCCATCAATAATTATTTGTTTATAGTTGGGAGGGTGTGAGATTGTTCTAAGTGGAGTCTGCCTAAAATTAATGCACCTACTTAACTATTTATAGACCTCCATCAGTGTTTCAATTGCAAAATTGCCTCAATGTGGTGTGGTCTCAGTTTGCATTGATTGGGATTCCATAGAATGGAGCATTAACCTGGTACATGTAGTTTACAACGTGAGGATTTTTATGCTTGACCAAAAGGCTGAGAATGTTTCTGCTCAGTCTGCGTTCTAGGGCCTCTAAAAATTCTGAGTGTACTAGAGATAGATAGCAAGAAAAACACAATATCCTCAAATTCTTCCCTCAACCAATACCACTAATTGCAGATTGATTGCTCATTCATTACTTTACTTGCATAAAATGAGTTGCAATATAAATGCCAACAGGTGGGAAATTTGCAATGGTGAATTATGTAGAAGGGTGAGTAGCTTGTTCTGGGGCTTGTGCTGATTGGAAGGAATGTCAGTTCTATGGAAGTACCTCACTTATCATGCAGTGCAATTGGGGTAATCAGGGCAGTTCTTAGCAGCTATACAGGTACTTGTTATGTACATTATACAGGCAGAGGCTGCTACTTTCTCAGAAATAATTGATTGTAATCACCCATGGCTCCAGAACTGGAGGAAAAAAGAAAAATTCAGTGTACTTAGTGTTGGCTAACAATCGGGGACATAATAATCAGCATTTGAGATTAATGCTGTTTCAGGAATGGAGAATATATTTTAGCTCAACTAGATTACCCTGCCTTCCAAAATCAGTTTTAGCAATTTTCAGTTTCATGGTTTGCACATGCAAATTTGATATTCAGAATGCTTTAATAGTTTAGAATTCCCTGGAAGTTTGGAATAGAACAGTAGACTTGCAAATTTCTCACTTCAATCAGAAGTTCATGCACCAAGCAACTGCCCAGGTCTACTACCAAACCAGGAAGTACACAAATGCTTTCTCAAATATGTTAATTAATTCAGTTCTTCACTTAGTAGTAATATGACCAATAACTGAAAAGTAGACTTGTAGGTGCCAAGTGCAGGTGGATTTTACTTAATAAAAGCAAAATATACAGATGCTGGAGATCAAAGATGAAATAAAATTGCTGAATAAACTCAGCAGGTGAAGACATAAGTAAAGTTAATGTTGATTTCAATTTGATTCTTCATCAGAACAGAAATAACAGGAATCAAACATTACCGGGGTTGGTGGGAACATGGACATCTGAACACACACAGATCAGCTTTAATCTTATTAAATGGCAAAGCAGACTTGAAGGGCCAATTGGCCTAGTGTTTTTATTTCATATTTTGTAAGTGTAAATGCAATGAATTTTATCCTTTCAAAATAAATAAAAGGGAGCAAAAGTCAGGGAAAGGCCTGAGGGAAGAAAGGTGTTATGGAATGGGGTCAGAGGGAGCAGTAATGGCTGCCATGAAATGACAAAACATTTGTTTATCGTCACCTACTCTGAACCAAAGTGAGGTATAGACATTTTGACGAAAAAATATCAAAATGAAGGAAAGATTTCACAGTCTCGAGTTGTTGAAGTCAGTCAATGTTGAGTCCAGAAGGCTGTAAAATGTCGAAACAGAAAATGAGCTACTGGTCCTCCTTCATATTGGGCTTCACTGGAACATGGCAGCAGATCTAGAACACAGATGTGAGCACGAGAGCAAGATGACGTGTTGAAATGGCAAGCAACCAGAAGAATGGGGCCATCCTTGTGGACTGAGGTGAGGTGTTCTGCAAAACAGCCACAGTCTGCATGTGGTCTCCCTGGTATGGAGGAGCCCACATTATGAGCATGGGGGTGATGGTAAAGTGGGCCAGAATGTCACAGAGAGAACAGTCTCTTTGGAGTGCTGATA